CGGCAATGCAGCAAGTGTGATGGGCCCCTTTTCAACGGAGATGATCACGAACGGGTTAATTAAATTGAAAAAAAAAAATGTTTGTGTAAATTTGCTACTTCTTAAGACTGCGTCTGTTGTTGTGAAGTTAGTTTATAAGTATTTAATTGAATGTTCAACTGTTCATAATAATTTATAAGCCTAAAAAATAAATAAATAAATTTTACATGTTAGTTAACACAATGATGTAATATTAACAAATAAACACATATGTATATAAAAAAACAAAACATGATATTATTTGAATCTAAATTCTAATACATTGTACAGTGAAATTAGTCTCGGGAAATTTTTGCATATGTAGTGGTGTGTATATTACTCAGATCTTAGAGCGCGTTTCCACTATATCGTTCTGGCCTATACAAAAATGTTTCGATATCCTAACATTACTATTTAATTTTATACTTATCCCTAGCAACACTATGATTTTTGTTTTCAATAAAAACAAGTTTTTATTTTAAAGAAAAAGGTATTGACTTTATAAAAAAAAAGGTGTGTGTGCGATTCACACACCATAGAAGTGAAACTTCAAAGAGGAGAGACCGATATTTAAATTTTTTTTTCTTTTTTTTTCCTTTCATCTAGGTTTTTAAAACTCTGGGGGTCTACAGGGGGGTCAAATTTTTTGTTATTTTTGGCCTAGGACGCACCGTTTCCGAGATATTTCAATCTAAAGCAAAAAATCGTCACTTGATAGTGGAAAGTGGAAACACGCACAAAACCAGAATAAACCAGTTTACGCTGTCCGTACCATACACTACTACAAACGCAAAAATTTCTCCAAGCTAATTTACCTGTAAACACATGGACTTAAACAATGATAAACTGTCAGTTTTTTTAAAAGCTAGACAGTGTGGTGCCTGTGCGAATTATGATTAAAAAGGCAAACAACATAAGGATTGCTTATTATAAATTAACTTACCTTCAACTCAACTAATTACGGGTTCGTATGATAAACCGATTTGCCGGCATTAACCCTTCTGTGCGGGTAGTTTAAATTTATGAACTTTAAAACTTTTCCTAGAAAGGTCAAAGGGTGTATGACTGCCGTTTTGTTGACTTTGCTTCAAAAATAATTATAATTTAATTAAAATATTTTTTTTTGTTTTGTTTTACTACTTGTGTTTAGTGCTATGAGCTGTGTAAACTTGTTTTTGGAACATATATATTTTTTTAATACATTAAGTATATATATTTATCTTTAGTTTTTACTTGCCTTTAAATGTGTAGTTTTGACTTTTTTTTTTTATATCTCACACACAGAAGTCTGATCCCAAACTAGGCAGAGCTTGTACTATGGTAACCAGACTGCTAATAAACATCCTTATATATATTTAAATAGATAAATATTATAGATAAATTACGCAAACCGCACGCCGTCTCGGGTACTAATAGCCGGGGAACCAGGTATACCCTAGAAAGGAAGTCCCTGGTGCCCCGACATACCTCGGGCCATCTACAACAACAGGTAGACGACCGTATGGGAACCCCATGTTCCCTCTGCTCCCTGGAAACGAGCGCGCTTCGCAACGCGCTCGCCGCCACCTCGCCGCCACCCCGGCCTGCTTCTGCTAGGGTGACAGATGGCCTCACCTGTCACCCCCAGGCCTGCGCTTATGGAGGACGGAGGTCGTTCTGCGACCTCCGGCGCCTGAGTCGCCTGCCAGTCAGTCAGTATGAGAGGGTCCCGTGACGCCTCTCGAGCCAATCCTCCATAACGGGTCTTAACGCAGATAAATTACACCCAGACACAGAACAAATGAACGTGCTCGAACCCACGATCTCCAATTCAGCAGTCAGGGTCACTAACCACTAAACCAACAGGCCCGTCAATAATGCAGAAATTTATGACTTTAATTGGTAGTAAACAGAGACGACTATGTTTTGATTGTAATAAAAATGATTGCAGACTTTAACTAAGTTACCCGCTACTCTACGTAAAATATCAGTAGTAGCGTAGTATTTTATTACTGTCAATAAGAAATATCACAAATTATCATTTGCGGTATTTCCGGACGGATTTAACCTTCACGAAAAGAGAGTACTCCTTCCTCAAAGACCGGCAACTCACTTGTGACTCCAGAGTTGCAGATGTACATAGGCGGCGGTAGTCACTTTCTATCAGGTGACCTGCTCCTTTGCCCCCTCTTGAATAATAAAAAAAAATGATGAGTAGTTTTACTGAAATCTAATAACGTAGTTCGCGTTACGGAACTAAAACCGCTTATCAAAAGATAAATCCTGTTTTACGGTGTAGGGCGGCAAACGAGCAGACGGGTTATCTGATGGTAAGTGACTACCGCTACCCATGAACTCAAGAGTAATAATTTTGTCAGTGCCTCCCTCCCCCAATCAGGCGGCGGGGTAGCCTCACTCACTCAGTGAAAAGAAACTAGAACTATTTATTTAACAACGGTTTTCTGTAAGGTCTTGATATAACTGACGTTGAGCCGGCCCGTTTGTGCCCAAACTTGGCTCTCCCACCAAAGTCAAGTATGTCAAACAACTGTAAATCACTTTAAGGAAATTAAAAGATAAAAACACTTCCAGAGTTTGGTCGCTTGGAAAGTATTTTTTTCACTTCATTAGCGATGTAGGCACATATCATTCAAATGAAATATTGTACTAGAATATGTAAGATTCGTCGACGTATTGTAATTTAACTTTACAAATACCGACCAGAGAAATTCGTTGAAACTATGGTAAATATAATTGTCACAAACTATTTGTGTGTTTGTGACGAAAGTAATGACGTAAAATATAAAATGAGGTTTACGTGTACTCGTAGTTGTCGTGTCGAGAAGTAATGAATCATATAAATGATAGCTAATTATATTTCTATGTTGAATGGGTTATTTAAATATTTTCAGAACCTTTTCTTTTTAAATCAATGGGTGCGTCACAAATACACTTTTACTACCAATCTGTCGAAACAGCCACAAGTCAGCTTTTTACTGTTAGTGAAGTTATTCAAAAACTTTTTTAAAGATAATCTATACGAGTAATTTGAATAACTTTGCCAGAATTACTGCATTTTCGTAATTTAAATGAAATATAATAAAGAGGTTTGTAGGTATTTTGCTGAAACATGGCAAAAAATCCAAAACTTAGAAATTTTGAGTTTAGGAAATGGAACGGACATAGGGCGAATGACAGAGCCAATTACGAACGTGTGATTGAATCTGCGGTACACGAGTAACTCCATTCTGTACTGACCGGAATGTACTCTGTTCTAACTTGTTCACACTAGTGTGAGTAATACTAAGTATACCTTTCACTACTTTGGCCCAACAGAGATTTGCACTTTTCAGTCCTATAGGCATTAGTTTTGTTAGTTTCTCTTGCATTCATTGATGTAAAAGTCTTTACTTTTTCTTTTCTTTTTCTTTTTCATAAATGTTAAATTGTAATTAATAATAACCTCACACCTCTCACACACGGCAGTCTGATCCCAAACTAGACAGAGCCTTTACTATGGTAACCCGACTGCTGATAAATATACTTATCTATACTAATATTATAAAGCTGAAGAGTTTGTTTGTTTGTTTATTTGTTTGTTTGTTTGAACGCGCTAATCTCAGGAACTACTGGTCCGATTTGAAAAATTCTTTCAGTGTTAGATAGCCCATTTATCGAGGAAGGCTATAGGCTATATATCATCACGCTAAGAGCAATAGGAGCAGAGCACCATTGAAGAATGTTTCAAAAACGGAGAAAATTTATTACTATTGAGAGACGCAGACGAAGTTGCGCGGGTCAGCTAGTATATTTATAAATACATACATATTATAGATAAAATACACCCAGACACGGAACAAACGATCGTGCCTATCACACAAATATTTGTCCTGGGTGGGAATCAAACCCACGACCTCCGGATTAGCAGTCAGGGTCACTAACTACTAGACCAACAGGCCCGCCAAGGCCCGTTATATGTATTAATTGGATTTTTATGTTATAGGGTCCCCTTTCCACTTATTTCTGCGGTGAGGACTCAAAAGGTGGACAAAGCACTTGTGTCTCTTGAGTTGTGGGTGAACTGGGTGTATTCATAGGTTGCAAACAAGCAGATGGATCACCTGATGGTAAGTGAGTATCGTCACACATAGACACCACACACCACTGCTAAAGAGGTCCTCCCCCGACAAGTATAAGGTGGCACGGGAAGCGGCGTTGGACTCCCATAACCTCACTTACTCGCTAAAAAGTACGTTTTAAAGTTTTTTCAGTTTCAATTCCTAATGCGGGAGTTATCTTTTTAAAAGAAAAGAAAAGAAAGAAAAATGTTAGGAAAACCAACAGCTACAAAAATTATAATAGTTAGATTACTACGATTATACTACGTTAAGCCAATTACAGGTTTTTACAAATTGATTCATTGTAATTGAACAGAGGTTCTGGAACACTAACTAACACGACACTACACCTATACAATAAATAATAATAGATCTAAAAATGTTACGATTAAAAAAAGTTGAGGTTTAAGTTATAGTACATAAATGAAAATAAAATGCATGCATCACCAAAAATTTATCTTTTAAAAACAATTTCCGCAATAAGAACATATCCTGTGTCGTGGGGATACATGAAATGGACACAAAGAACACCCAGACTTAGAATAACAATTTGTGGATCACTCAAAATGTCGTCCCATGTGGGGATCGGACCCACAACACTCAGCGTAGTAGTAAGCTTTAAACCACTACGCCATCCGTGCACTCATATTGCAGGATATTGTACATATAATATACTTGAAATGTAGACATATTTTTCTATTTATTCACCTGTAAAGGTCAGATGATATGACCGAAAAAATGGTCTAGCTATATAAATACAACAGTACAACTAAACAAATCCAATTGGTTCAACAAAACACTAAGTTGGGCTATTCAACCCAGCGTATAGAAGTTCCACAAATATTATTTAATTTGAAAAAATAGCGTGTGAAAAATAAAACTTACCAGCAATGGCGAGTTGCATAATAAAGAAGTTCATGCGACTTTTCCGAGCGTTTGTACAAAGTAGAGCGGCGATAACCGAAGCGTTGAGGACCACTATCGCAACGAACAACACCCACATCACCGTGAACTGGATCGACTGAAATATAAAGGTCAAATGTAAAAAAAACTGTTATTATTATTTATATAAAACTAGCTGCCACGCTTTGCTCGAATTGATAAGAAATGAAGAACAAAACTGACACGAAAAAAAGATGAAAAACTTTGAAGCGGTTTGTATATATATCTTGTCAAAATATACTTAACATTTTAATATAAAAATAGATATCACATATAGTGGTACCCTGGTTTTATTTTTAGCCCCTGATGAAGAAAATTAATAGTTGAGTTAACGTAGAAAAAACTTGGACTTGTTTTAATTCAGAAAATGTGTAACACTCCAAATAAAGTGAGATATTCCATTAAAATCCAATATTAGGACCTAATATTTCTTTTCGCCTTCTCTCTTTATCGACAGCTTTTAGTAGTCCACTGCTGGACACAGGGCTCTCCGTAGAAAGGAGGTTTTGGTAATGGGGTTAGTTTCAAGTTTTCCTTCTCTTTGCAGAGCTGTTGTCCTGCGTAGTTTGCTCCCTTAGTCGGCTCTTATTACATCCACGGGATGAATAGGGGTGGTGACAGAACGTATTCTTAATCCGTCACTATACGGATACCTTCTCTCTTATTGTAAATAAAACAATAATAATAGTAAAAAGTCAAAATTATCATGAAACATTCAAAGAGACTAAAAGTTCAGAGTTTAAACGAGGGAACAACAAATAAAACTGCTTTACTTTCACTAATTAAATATTACATTGTTCTAGTCAGCATTCATTCAACTCAGTCCGATAGAAGTCATTTTACTTAAGTATTGTTTAACTTTGTGCGAATTTCTAAGATCTGTTTGAAACTTTTGATCAAAATTAATGAACGGGATTATAAGTCAGCAACAAGTGATTGTTGATATTCCTAATTTCTTGCTTTAAAATTAAAATACCGCTCAAGAATTAAGTCACTTGAACAGATTTTGTACCACTTTATTTTATACTTTTATTTTAAATAAATTCTATAAACTTAATAAAAAAATTATATTGCAATATTTCAATGAGCATATTGTTTTCTTGAACAGTATATTCATTATCAACACCAACAGCCTTAGAAAGGACCTCTCCTTAGAAAGGAGGTTTTGGCCTACTATACCACGCTGGCCGGAAGGGTTGGTATAGAGTTTGTGTCAAGTTTTGCTTCTCTATACAGTGCTGTTGTCCTGCGTAGTGTGCTTAGTCGCTGTCCCGTCAGGTGTCTTAAGAGTGAATACACTCACGGAATAACTAAGGGTGGTGACACTCCGTATTCCTAATTGATCAGCACACGAAACAGTATATTATTATATCCCTATCCTAGGAGCTCCTCTGATCACAAACAAGTCTACTACCGGACTACTTCGGCTTCTTTGGTCCCGTTTCACCATCCGAGAGTTTACTTTAGGGTTTACCTTTTAGTCCCTAGCCCTATCGATTTTCCATACCCTAATTTATCTTTTTCCTTTGTCCTATCTGAAAATAATTAAATTTTCAAAAAGAGTTGACTTCAGACAGGCAGCCGGCCATCAAATAAATCACTCGGATACGAATTGAACCGGCGGCAATTATAAAAAGAGCAGAAAATGATGATGGCGTGTCTTTTTTTTTTTTAATAAATCAAAATGGTTAAGATCAAAAGTACTACGTGTTCATTATTAAATTTACTATCATTATAGAGATACTCACACTTATGATTTGATTTGTGTATTTTAGTAATTTCACACAACATTTTGATTAATACTTCGTGAATATCGAGTCGCGAAAAAAGTATCTTTTTGTTTACTTTTATGATAAGATTGTGAAGAAAATTGTTTTATAAAACATAATATTAATAGACGATAAATTAAAGGAAAACCCAAAAAGCAGAGAGAACATTACTTTTGCTTGGATATGAGTTAAATCAATCTGAGATATGCATCTGAAAACGTGAGCTGTTAGTTTAGTTACATCGGGATTTATTTTCCATACTTTTATTAAAGGAAAGCCCGGTATTTTTTTTTATTTTAAATGTTTATTATATGTAAAAATGATACCGCTATGATGTATTCAGTTTGAAGTGCGAATAAAGTGCCTTCAAACAGATACAATTTCACAGCATGTCTCATATCAAAAATGTTAGTTATGTCAGGACTACTCTATTTAAAAGCTGGAAGTATTCGTGTTTAGATAACACGACAACTGATATCAGCGACAAGCTCTTATAACACCGATGACGTAAACCTAAAAATATCCATTAGATGATTAGATCCTTTCAGTTTGTATGACGGATAATCCATCTCTAAATATTGTAGGTGTTATAGCTTTCGTTGTCCGTGTGGTGACGGATTAAGAATACGGATTGTCATCACCCCTATTCATCCCGTGGGTGTCGTAAGAGCCGACTAAGAGAATACACTACGCAGCAAAACAGCACTGCAAAGAGAAGAAAAATTGACACAAAACATATACCAACCCGTCTGGACAGCGTGGTACAGTAGGCCGTAACTTCATTTCTAAGGAAAGGCCTAAGTCCAATAGTAGACTTTAAAAATAGACAATCTTTGTATTCTTATTTTCATAATTACTACAGTAACTCACAAATTAATAAATTGACATCTACAAAAAGCCAGTACTTACGTCATAAAAATAATAGATATTAAGTTCGGAAGTAGCGTTTGTGGCATTTTTTATTTGTTCGTCATCGGATATGAATACTGTAGTGAAGTATGAGGACCGCAGTGTGGTCTGCTCTTCCATTTCTTCAATCATGATGTCAGGTTCCATAGTTCTGAAACAAAAGTAGTTTCATTAAATTTTGTTATGTTTTCTAATAACTTGGTACACGGATTGTATAGACATTGGTTTTAATTTTCTCCCATAGTACATTTACTTTCCTGGACCACCAAACATGACTTAGTTTAGATTTTAGAACATGGGTAAATGTATAATGCATGGATACTTTTTTTAAATAAAGACGTACATAACATGTCAAATAGTAACACCCATACCAAATATTTTGTTTAAACAACGGTAATCGAACGTGGCAGTTGCAAACACTACCGTGCGCCAAATAAGCCGTATAGTTGTTAAAATTTTCTTGTTGAAATGTTGCAATGTATTGTTACAATGTTTATGTGCTTTCTTAAAGAGAAAATTCAATAGAAAGTAATTATTTTCATTTATAAGGAAAAAAATCACTCATTATGTGTATAACGGAAATGCAAGACTAGTTTCCCGACGCGGGTTGGGAGTCCGAAATTGATTGGGTATTTTAGTAATAAACAAGTGAATAAACCGTATATTCCATTTATATACAAACGCCATTCACACAAGAAAACACTCTAAAAGTTATATTTCATTATTATGACGTCATTCGTCAATTATTACGTCACGTAACATAAATAACTTGTTAAATATTATTTCCCTAAGAAAACTCATTGCGCCGACTACATTATTAATTAATTAGTTAAATAAATATATGTCATCGTTTAAGTCATATGAGGAATGCCCATTCATAGTTTAACTTATAGACGTTCGCGTCATTATTTAAAAATTTAAAAAAACATAATCATTTCGACCCTGAATCTCTTCTATAGAATTTAAGGTTTGAAATTTAATCTTACAAGGACTAAAACTTGAATCAATTACCGTTTCAATTTTTAGTTAAATGTTAAATGTTGCCATTGTATTAAATAAACCATTAATGGATGAATGTAAATAAACATCGTTTCAAAATAAAATGGTTAAATAATAATTTAAGTTGATAATAATTCGTAGTATCACGTTAGGGTATATTGCAGTTTAGTAATCCAATTATTTCGTGTATGTAGTCGTATTTTATATAGTAAATGTATACTTCAGTGTTAGTTTTGCATTAATTTATACACGGTATTCCTGTCAAAGACACGATGCCACAAACATTATTAAAAAAAAACGCTAATGCCAGTGTCACAATATTTTGTCTTTGTTAATATTTTAATTTCTTTAATTAATTTAATTTCTCAATAACCACAAGTTTTGTTAAAATATAAGTTAATATTTGAGGTAATTCTCAATGCAGGTTTAATAATGCAGTTTATACATATTTGGCACAACAAAAAAAGTGTGAATCTGATTTTCATACTTAAATGGGCATTCTCCTTTGGGAAAAGGGGAAGATGATGATCATCCCCTTAAGATTTTTCGTATTGATACGCCTAAATGTTATTTTTTGTAAAGAAGTTTGTCTTTTCCTCTTTTTAGTGACAGACCCTGCCCTGACATTAAAATTAATGTGTTTGACATGATTTACTTTTACAACCCATGCTATTTTATTCCTCATGTTTTCCCAATATACCATATCATCATATTTGCAATATCATGGCGAAAATACAAGTTTTTTTTTTCTAATCATTCAACTTTTGTTAAGAAATCTTAAATTAAAACATCACCCACAAAAGTGTATGATATAGTCACATCTATTTACGTTGTGGTGAAGGAGATATATCATATAGTTTTTGCGTAGTTTCCACATAAGAACATTTAGGATTTCCGTCGAGCTTGCACTAACCGCAACCATTTAATTAAAGTTTTCGCTTTAGAAAATTCTGTTTTCGCCACGTTTGTCTTGATTATAGAACGATTTCTGTCGGCTGATACGGTAAATGCAACATTTGTTCGCATATGAGCTTTTAGGAATTTCAAGTTAAATTCAGCTTCAAGTTTATTTTTTAATATAGAAAACAAGAAATTAAACACGAGAAGCTTTTTTTTTATATTTTTGAACAAAGGTTTCTTTACAAATCTTTTAAAAGATTTTATTTTTTAAATAAGTAACAATACTGTTAGTACATATCTACTATAAAATTATGTTTTAAGGCTTGTAAGCCATACAAATTACATGTAAGCAATACAAAACAGATTTCTATTAAAAATTAACCTTTGTTACCAACAGACAGAATATGCTGTGATTCCTGATTGTATTTTTTAAGATATTTGTACTATTTTATGCAAATAAATGGTTCAATCTCAGAAGATCCATGGGCCAGATCCATTTGATTTGATTTGGACCACCCACTTCATCCACCTAGTCGGTCAGTTAGGAATTTTATTCCTATCAAATCACCTACTGTCCACCTGTGGTTTTTAATTTATAAAGAAAATAGGAAAAATACTTTAACTAGAGGAACAAAGAGGAAAAAAACGAAAAAATACTTTAACTAGTTAAAAATATTTTAACTAACCAACCACTTCGGTTCAGTTGGTCGGAGTGGAAAGACAGCTTATTTTTTTGTTTACATCGAAGTAAACTAGTTTAACCTAACATACATCTAGGAAATAGAAAAGAACAAAAGTATCAGACAACTGGATGGGTGGATAGTTAGGGATACTATAATAAACAATTTATTCAGCCGGTCATCTAGGTGATTCGTTGAGAACAACTATTCCTAACTGACCACTAAGTGGATGGATTCAGTGGTCCGTTAGTATCAAAGTAAAATTAAGTAGCTAACTATCTTGACAAAAATTTCTGGATTTTAAGTTACCTAATTAGACTTTTACTATGGTAGTCGTAAACATAATACCAATTTTTAGTTTGACGATTTACACAGTGCATTTGTTTAATTCGCTGTTTGTATCTAAGGTATTCTTAACAATACAATTTGCTTAGTTACAATCAAATTTAACTTTTACCCAGCAACTCGATTCCTGGTAATAAACTTCGTTTTAGGTACAAATTCAAATTAAAGAAAACCTCCTTTTTTAATTGTAGTTTTATCTCACCCCGTTTTAAAATTATCTTATTTTTTCCTGGTGGATAGAAAAATAACTTTTAATTTGCGGAAGCCACGGCTCAAAACTAGATAGATTTAAATAGGTGTATGTTTATCGGCAGTCTGGTTACCATAGTACAGGCTCTGCCTAGTTTGGGATCAGACAGCCGTGTGTGAGATGTGTGAAGTTATTATTATTATTAATTTATATTAATAGTCGACTTTAAATAAAGTGTTATGTGTGTTTCATTCTACTTATTCAGAAAACCGTAGTGGAAATTAAACACAAACTGAGGTATATTGTTTGCCGCACAAGTTTCTCTAGAATGAAATTTACTATTATTATGGACAGAAACAAAGTTGAACGTATCCTGTAGTTTGTTTCAATCTTTCTCGTTGTTTTGAGTTTTTACCTACATTAAATTTATTTTAACACCATCGCGCCCGATTTTTAAAGTTTGGTTTTGTTATTAAACACATGAATTGTCATTTGTAGTGGTTAAGACGATACTATAAATGACTGGCTTGTCAGTTTCTGTTGACCATAAGGCTCATGACCATAAACATTGGAAGATGAAAAAGAATAATTTTGTACCAAAACATAAAAGAACTACAATTATATTTCAAAACCCAGTTTGTTTAACAATCATAAACCTTAAAAGAAGACTTTTCTTCTACATATATTGTTTTATTTATAGACTACCATAGAAAAAGATGAAAGAAAATAGTTCATTAGTGTTTACTTAAAGCATTTAACTTTTTTTTACAGTCACCGTGTTAAAAGTAGCCTACATATAACCTCAGACGTAGTTTGATCAAAAGACTTCCTATTTTTGCCGTATATATTTTGGTTTTAGAACTCTCTGTTTTCTGGCTAAAGCTTCTTCAAATTATGGTAACAAAGTCATTTGCTTAGAGACTTTGAGATGCGTATTATTGATGTAAGCTTTTTATGTTATTGAAATCTATCTTATAGACTAAAATTATAAAATCATAATATATAAAAATATTCATATCTGCACACGGAACTGGTCATGAAAAAATAAGTTTTACATATAGACGCAGTCATAAATTTTACGTATAAATAGAAAATACAAGGTCGTAGATGTAATTCTAGCATTATGGTTATAGGTATATTGTAAATCCTTTAGATCTGTAATGTTCACATAACAGTAAATGTCATACCATCCGCTTTGTCTAAAAAATACGAGTGTAAATCATATCTGCTGAGATGTGCCTAAAGCTTCATACACATGAGCGGCTCGTTATCATCAGTAAAAGGTACTACAGTCGTTAAAAGCAGTCGAAAATCTGCGGCACCATCGTGTGTTCGATTCCTACTTAAAAGAAATGATTGTGTAATAACGAACGTCATTCTTACTAAGTATGAGTTTAATTTACTCCTTTCTAAAAGGGCGGCAACGCGTTTGTGACTCCTGAGTTGCAGACGTTCATGGGCGGCGATGGTCACTTTTCATCAGGTGACTAGACGGGTCACGGCTCGTCTGCCCCCTCTAACATAAAAAAAAGAAAAAAAAACTATTGAATATGTATACATTTATAATACATAAGTATGTTGATTTGTATTCTGGTCACCATAGCACATGTTCTGTCTAATTTGTATGAAATGTTACAATAAAAATTACCGCTGCAGCTTGCCGGCAGAAGCTAACGCTTAGACAATTACTGCCAAAAAATGTTGCCAGCGTGCCATGCTTATGAATATGTGGCTTTATATGTTTTATTGTGAATGGTGACGAATGTTTTGATAAACCGCAATTATTTTGCAGAAATCCTGTGTGTGACATTCTGAATAGAGAAATTGTCTGAAAGGATGTAGAATTTCTTAGCAGCTTGTTTGATCTTTATAACCAATTGAATACGAAAAAGCATAATCCTGGACAAATACTAACACAAAAACAAAAGTTTTTATGAGTAGTGAACAATTCATTAAATTATTAAGAAATGGTTAGAAATTTATAGTAACTAATATTTAAAAACTGTATCTTTTGCAAGTTATAAAATTACAATTTATTGCTCGGGAGTGGCGATTCGTTCCTTGAAAGACATCTTTTTAATTTTTATTTTATTAATCCCAACTCCGCCAGGTAATTGTGGAGGGGTGCGTGGTCCGGAACCTCCTTGTGGTGCACCCTGGGCAACGGAGACGGCAGCGCCTCTCTCCCTAGGTGGGGGAGGCGCTGCCGCCTGCGGCCAATTCCGGCCGAGGTGGGAACGGCCCGTCAAGGGCTGTTCGGAGGGCCGCTTTCCGCGTGTCCCTCTGTTTGGCAGAGGGCATAGGGGAGAGCGGGCTGGGGGCGGACGGGTCCACTGCAGCTGGCTCTGTCCAGAGGTGGGGGACACTGGTCTGACGCAGACCACCGTCCGGCCATGTCGTAACCCTGACTGGCAACGGTCAGGAATGACGGCTCTTCGAGGGCTACGAGGAAGGCAACCTCTATAAAAAACCTTGGGGCGGACGGACCCGGTCTGGTGCAGACCCCGTCCGGCCCAGCCGTAATCCTGAATGGACAGGACCGGTGGATCTTCGGATCCGCGAGGACGTAAACCTCTATAAAAAATGCTCTAAGCCCACGTTCTGACGCCTGGCAAGGGGCTGAGTCGCTGGAGGGAGTCCAGTGCCGAAGGCGTCCCCGTCGAAGGACGTTAAACTAACTTTATGACATGGGCCCAAAGATTTTTAAATCTACCCAGGAGGGTACCAGACGCACTGCGTCTGGAGAATCCCTCCCGGAGCCAGACGGCTCCGGCAGCTCCCAAACGTACTCTGGGGGGAGCAACCTCTGTCTTACCTGCCCGTCGCCGAGCAGTAAATCCGGCACCCAAAAAAACGCGGAGGACGCAAAAAACCTGGAGGTAGTGTCGAACACCGACACTGCCTCAGAGATGAGCGAAGCGAGTACCCCGATGGTCTCAGCTGCGGAGCAGCACCAGAAGGGTACTCCAAAGCGCAAAAGGCGCTCGCTTCGCCTTGGCCTGAAGAGGCAATTGGAGTCGGCCTCGAGCGATGAGGCCTCGGCTCCCAAAGTCGGCACAAGCCGCAGAGGCGCTCGCGGCGGAGGCCGACTCCCTAGGGTTGCCCAGGAGCAGAAGAAGGAGCCACTACGCTCCTACGAAGCTCCCGTGAAGAGGGTCGCATCCGAGAGGTTGATAGACGTGACCGAGGTGAGGAGCGAGAAGGAGGGTGGCAAAACCGGCAACCCCGTCGACCGGATTGAGGAGGCAATCGGCCAGGCCGATTGCTTGCTTCGGACGTCCGGGTTGGCCGGGGGCCCCCAACAGGAGGCCCTGGTAGCGGTAGTGCGCTCCATAATTGAGGCGGGCAGACTCCTCGTGGCCGAGAGCAAGGCCCACGCTAGGGAGAGAGCCCGCCTCGAGGCGGATCTCGCACAGGCTCGTGCTCACGCTAGTGCCACACCAAAGCCTTCGGCACCGTTGGCGCTGTCCGCCCCGGAGCCGGAGCCGAGCTTAGTCCGACTCATGGCGGAGATGGAGGAGCGGATAATGAGGCGCATCTCCGCTGTAGAGAGCGCCCGTTGTCGCCCACCTCTGGCTCCGCCAAGGGCAACCTATGCGGCCGCTGCCGGTGCGGGCCTAACAGCCCAGCCAGCAGCTAGGGTGGCTGGGCCGTCATCAGCGCCCCCGCCCCAGAAGACCGGAAAGGGCAAAGGGAGGGGGAAGGTGGCCCCAACCCAAGCCCCAGTCTCGGCCCCGGCTGACACCGCACAGCGCTCGTTGGAGCGGGGCTGGACGGTGGCCGGGGACAACAAAAAGAGGCGGAAGGCCGCCAAAAAAGCGGCCAAGAAGGCGAGGAGGGACGCCGCCGCCGCCGCGAAGGGAGCGCCGAGGAAGCTCCGCGCCCCTCGCTCCTCGGCCGTCGTTATCACT